TAAAGATGGCAATGCCGACAAAGTACTTTCTTGATTCTCACCTTTGGGAATTTACTTTCTTCATCAATTAATGCTATAATATTCATTGGTTTTGATGCCAATAAGTCTAAAGTTTCTTGATTATCAACAAATTTGATATGCTGCCATTTGATGCCTTCACGGTCGTACTCTTGCTGTCAACAGAAACACAACATTATTTAAATTTCTATGCAAGTCTGGAAATTACATTTAAGAATGTTTTTGTTGTGATTGGCTACTGGGTCAAGCCGATTTAACCTTTTCACCACCGGACTTTCTTGCCCCAATTTTTCGACACTTTTTTCTAATATTCTTCAATATTTCTGGAAATAAACCCTAATTTTGGAGCCAAAAGACAAAATTTGAAACAACTTTCAGTTTTACTCAAAATTTATTTTGCTATTTTTGTCCAAATCTTCTGCAGGTATAAACAGACTATAAACAGTGATGAAAAAAGGAAACTGGTGATAAAAATGTTAACCCTGGGGTTATGACAATCATTAGCCACTGTAAAAACGAGTTTTTTTTTAATGTTATTTGCCACACAAAGTTATCATTTTGCACAGTTTTGTTATGCATGTTAAAAATCCTTTACTATACATCCTGCTTTATAGTAGTTATTACTTTATACATCATGCATTGTGCTATATACTGCATTATGGTTGTAATCCCTAATTTTAAAAGGTTAATGTGGCTATAAAAATATAAACATTAGCCACGTTAGATTTCAGTTAGCATTGGCTGTCGTTGCCAACGCAGTCTAAGAATAACATTTTTGAAAAACAAAATTGTGTGGATTTATTTTCCCGACAGGTGACAGAAATTGACTGTTCAGGGAGGTTAAAGGTTAACAGATGAGGATTGGTCCTGACAAACTGGATACTGTAAAAGGATTAATTATTCACTGGGTTTTAATTTTGCTTATTTCGCTGACTGGAAAATGCACTAAATTAAAACCCAGTGATTATGTAAAATTTAGCATAGAACACATTACCTAAATGATAAAACCATGAATTTAAAACCCACTGAATATGCCTGAAATGGTAAATCAGTGAAATTTAGATCCAAATTAGTCATTTTACAGTATTACATCTTTTGATTTTAATGCAAAACATGATTTATTTTTTCTATATTTTCTGGGGCATGTCAACCTTATATGAATTATGATTAAATTTCATTTCTTAAAAAGAAAGTCACATAATTAGAAAAAGCAAAAGCTTACCTGTTCTAATTTAAAAATATGTCTGACAAAAAACTGCTGGAGGTTTTCGTTGGCATAGTTTATGCACAACTGCTCAAAGCTATTCTGGCCAAAGTTTTCAAAACCGAATATATCCAGTACACCTATGTTAAGTCGGTTATGTTTGTTATCACACGGCTTGAAAATCGCATCGTTTATCTTCTTAACAATCCAAACAAACATACGGCCGTAAATTCCTTTAACAAAAGCGTCTCGCACATCTGTTGACTGCTGTACATTCATTGGCGACACGATGGTCTCTCCCTGGGCGAATGTGGACCGTGATGTCAGGGCATCTGATAATGCTTTTGAATTCACCTGCAATGAACAGAAATATTTTATTAAAAACATACGTTTTATTTGTATATAACACAACAAGATACTTGGTTTAGTCTTGGTTTCATGCAAATTAAATATAGATCAAGCTTCATCTCCTAGCATTGGGTAAACAGTATTTATCAACACATGTTTTTAGTTATTGTACTTTTGTCGCTCATGTCATCAGCGTTAACGTACATGTTGTTTCAGTTGGTCATTCTATACATTAACATTCAATGACTTTGAAAAAAACAATGCCAATACCTCAAGAAGCTTTGCTATGCTGTGGACAGTGTTGACATTTGTAATATGGGTGGAGTCCAAATTTTTGGCTTCATATGCCTCGTAGTCTATGTTGCCGAGATGTAAAACGCTGGACAGCAACTTGAAAATATTCCATTGTTCCTGCTCCGAGAATGTCAAGACTTTCATAGCTGATCTGATATCTGCAAACTCCTTCTTGTCGTCTCGTCCTTCACACGTCAAACAATTTCCCTACAGAGAATCAATTAAATCAATCAGTTGTCATGGAAACATCGCTTACTTGAGCAATTTTATCATTGGGGTTATCATAGTTATTTAAAAGCTCTAACTGGAATTGTCTATTTGGATCCAGGAATTACTAATTAGTTTACAACCATAATGATGTCCAATGAGCACTGAGAAATTACAGGTGGAGAAATGTGGGTCCCATGCAACAAATGCAATGTGGGTTGCATGTGGGTCCATGCAACAAATGCAATGTGGGTTCCATGTGACAGATGCAATGTGGGTCCCATTGTTTGCATAGAAATTAAATATCTATACAAACCTTCCCAGAAAAATTATGCAATGCATTCTGGGATGCATACTTACACAAGTGAGGTAATTATAATATGAGGCATCCTTTAGGTTCAACTCTTTCATTTCAGCCGCTGTCAGACCGATCAACATACAGTAGAATATATGGTAATTTCTTTCATCCTTTGCCTGAAGCAGAAAATTAACAATAAAGGATCACAGCATGTAAAATGGCAATTTGTTACGGTCATTAATCTTTTGAGCACAAAAAATAACAGAATAATTATTTCAGTATTCATTTAAAAAAAATGAAATTATGTCTATTTGGTCTGAAAGTAACAAAGAAATACAAATGCTGAACAAAATTTAATGGGAGAAAATGTTCAAAATAGATAATCAAAGGCATATTTTGAAGGCACCTAATTTCAAAAACAAAATTTCTAAATGTCTTAGATTGAGTGAATCATTTGATTACTTTCCAGGGCATTCAGGTAGAACATTTAATTGCCTCCATGGTCTCTGTGAATCCCAATGTTGCACATCTTTAACACTTGATTTTATTGATAATCAGTACTGGAAATTTCTGAACTTACCGGACCCACTATGCGGGATTTTTCCAAGAGATATTGCTCAATCTTAGCTCCTTCAATAATGCCTCTGTCACTAAAGTGGATATCAATGTATTTACCAAAACGACTTGAGTTATCATTACGAAGTGTTTTTGCATTACCAAATGCTGCAGAAGTGAAAAAAAAAAACCAAGATGGCCAACCGTGTAAGCAAGATGACTGACTATGTTAATGAAGATGACTGACAATGTAAAACAAGATGGCTGACAATGTAAATCAAGATGGCCGACAATGTAAATCAAGATGGCTGACAATGTAAATCAAGATGGCCGACAATGTAAATCAAGATGGCCGACAATGTAAATCAAGATGGCCAACAATGTAAATCAAGATGGCCGACAATGTAAATGAAGATCGCCGACAATGTAAATGAAGATGGCCGACAATGCAAATGAAGATGGCCGACAATGCAAATGAAGATGGCCGACAGTGCAAATGAAGATGGCCGACAGTGCAAATGAAGATGGCCGACAGTGCAAATGAAGATGGCCGACAGTGCAAATGAAGATGGCCGACAGTGCAAATGAAGATGGCCGACAGTGCAAATGAAGATGGCCGACAGTGCAAATGAAGATGGCCGACAGTGCAAATGAAGATGGCCGACAGTGCAAATGAAGATGGCCGACAATGTAAAACAAGATGGCCGACAATGTAAAACAAGATGGCCGACAATGTAAAACAAGATGGCCGACAATGTAAAACAAGATGGCCGACAATGTAAAACAAGATGGCCGACAATGTAAAACAAGATGGCCGACAATGTAAAACAAGATGGCAGACAATGTAAAACAAGATGGCCATGATTAAAGGTGATGATTTCAATTTGATATTTATTTACATCACATTTTTGCATTACAGGTTCTTGTGACCTGTTTTGTGTTCTGATAGTGAGAAAATGATATGGTGGTATTTGCCAAATTAAATTGTTAAGAGGGCATAATGTTCTCAAATTTGCTAGAGGGTGCTGTTATGTCCCAGAGATTGAAATAGAAAATTTTCCTTCACCAAGCTCAAATATTGTAATAAAATTTTGTTCAAGAGTATCATCAGTTTACGGTTGTGATGTTCTGGGATCATATGATCTTGTAAAAATTCTTTATATTTCATCAAAACAGAAATACGATGATAATACATCAATCAGGATACACCCTAGGTTTTAGATTTACATACACAGGCTGAAAAACAACATGCACAGAGCACCCAAGTATTTGCTAGAGGGCACTGTTACGTTTAGGCAGAACAGCTTTAACAAAGGTAAAACATACAGGTATTCATTCACAGCATGTACAGATACACATGAAGTAAACAGTTTTTAGTGACTCTTACCCTCCATGATTGGATTAGCTTCCAATATTTGCTGTTCAATCCAAGAATGCTGGCCGCTGACTGCTGCTAGGAACTGTAAAATTAGTTTTGTGCTCTCTGTTTTCCCAGCCCCACTTTCACCACTGAAATACAACAACAGTTCACTTAGAACACTGGAACCGACATGTGTTACTGTATGAATGTGGTTGGTATATATTGGTATATATTGCATTTTATAAAGAACTTTTTTCACGGTTATTATTTTTTTTTTTTAGATTTAATGCTTTTTCGTTGAATGTATAATTACAAGTGATTGACAGATTAGTATTAAATTTATTGAACTCCAGTCTACTTTTACATCATAAATTCCAAATCATTTTTGGTTGATTTGGATACTAGTGGAAATAAATTGTCAACATTTACACCATAGTATAGACTTGTTAAGTTTTACATATTCCATAAGGTTAAATATGTTGTTATTTTTCTTATTTTAAATCCATGTAATACTCAGCTAAAATTACCATTGTAGTACCAAAGGAATAAACAAACAATATGTCATGTGGTATGGAGATGTAAATTGTATGTGAATAGCATACAAGAATGTAAATAGCATGCAAGTAGAATGTATATAGAATGTAAATAGAATATAAATAGCATGCAAATTAGCATGCAAGTAGAATGTATATAGAATGTAAATAGAATATAAATAGCATGCAAATAAGCATGCAAGTAGAATGTATATAAAATGTAAATAGAATGTAAATAGAATGTAAATAGCATGCAAATTAGCATGCAAGTAGAATGTATATAGAATGTAAATAGCATGTAAATAGCACGCAAATAAGCATGCAAATAAGCATGCAATGTATATAGATGTATATATGCATAGAATGTATATAGAATGTAAATTGCATGCAAATAGCATGCAAATAAACATGCAAGTAAAATGTATATAGAATGTTAATAGAATATAAATAGCATGCAAATAAACAAGCAGATAGGATGTAAGTAAGATGTAGGATGTATATAGAATGTCAATATCATGCAAATAGCATGTAAAAAAAATCAAGCAAGAAACCAGCTGTAGGTCAAGCACTGTTCACATATGCATACACATAGCATGAAACTTTAACCCCATTGGTATACTACAAAGGTCAGTATGACAAGGATTAAATGCAGACTGTGGCTCTTTAACCCTAGATTAAAAGAACATACCTGATTATAACACACTGATCTTGTTTCTCCCTCAACATACGATTGTAAGAATTGTCAGCAATTGCAAATATATGCGGAGGTAGTTCTCCAATCTTTTTATCTCGATACTGAGTGATTTGTTCTCTTGTATAGATGGGAAGTATTTGATATGGATTGACGGCAACTAAGATGGCACCGGTGTATGTCTGCAATAAAAAATGAAACGATGAGTTCAAAACCAGTGGGCACACATGCGATTAAATTCTACGAAATGAAACAATTTGTTCCTATATTACAAGCTTTTGAATGAATAAATTAAAAGACATGCATTTGATTCTGTTATTTGATATCGAGACAATGACGTTTTCATTCGTAAAAGTGCATCTCCAAAAAAAGCACATGTTCATAAAGAAATGCATTTACTCCATACAGGTTCATTCAAATATGGCCGAATACGAACATAGAAGCACTTCTGTAATTTATGCAAATGCATGCGCTACTAATACAGCAAAATACTGATTTCTGTAATTCAACAACCAGTTAACAAGAAGTGATCATTACTGGCATTTTAAACAAAGCTTAATGGCACCACTTGAACCAATTCAACCCCATATAATTAAACAAGACAAAAAAAACTGATGTACCGAACAATATCACAAATGGTGCAAAATCAGAAAATACTCACATATATAAAATTTTCGTTATATCTGACAAGTAGATTCCTCAGAATACCAGCTTCATGAAGATCTCCCAGTCGAATCATGTCTTCTACGCCCTCTATGGACGTTAAATGCATAGTCTTTAAGTTACGAGCATTGCCGCTGGACAACCAATGATCCTTAAGTAATAAAGATGCAATTAATATCCAAGTAGTAAATTAAATCCACATGAACATGTGAAATAACAAAGAACTTTTTGTTTTCCTGTCTAGTTTGTGAACTAAAAAAACCCTGTGAAATAAGCTTAAAACATCAAAATATTGAAATTAAATTCCAGTGAAAATAAATGGTTATACATAATTTATTTATTTCCAGTACATCCATTTACGGGACCCTGATCCTCAATCAGAGCATGACAAATTTAATTAATTACCAAAACGATATTAATAGTTATAAATAACCATACAGGGATTGTTATCTTGAATCTACATGAACCACTATCTCATTGATGCAGACAGACAATAGTATTACACGGATGAAAGGGATACTACATGTATGTACGTTGAATTTACCAAAGAAATTCCACTAAGTTTATTATCAACAAGCCATGCATGGCACAGTCCCCGTTAGTTATCAAATTTAAGATATATAGTTTTGTTTATAGTAATATAGCTGGAATATAACCATGTCAGGAATATGATTTTTTAACATTAAAATGATTGACATTTGTATCTGATCGTCAAACAAGTACTTGTCCATATTGAGAGATATTGCTCTGGAACAACATTAAGAATCAGCCATTTTGAATACATGTATATATATATAACATGATGTATGACGAATATATAAAATTTGAATATAATCAGTCAAAGCATTTAAAAGATATGGCTCTAGAAGCCCAATCATTAAAACAAAATGGCCGCCAGTCAGCCATTTTGAATCCAATCTGAAAAATAAAATGACGTGCATCAGGAACTTGTAATGTCCAATGTATGTTATAAGTTTGAACAAAATCCATCCATAAATGCCAGAAATGCTTGATATTTGATGATTTTTTTAGCACAAAAATAGCCACCATTTGGCCACTTTGAAAAGGATCGTCAAACCAATATATCTGTATATCTATGACATGATGTATAATGAATATTAAAAATTTGAACATAATCAGTCAAAACAAGTCAGACATATGACACAAGAACCACATTCATTAAAACAAAATGGCCGCCAGTCGGCCATTTGGAATCTAATCTGAAAAACAAAATTATTTGCATCAAGGTCCCATAATGTCTAATG